GTTTGAAATTATAAGCATACTTGGAATTGTTTGTTATGTTTACAAGGATTCTTTAAGTAAATATCAAAGTTATGATCCTGTTTTTCCCATCATTCACTGGGGCATGAATAATTAAAAAGGTTAAAGTTTTCACTGTTTTCGAGTTCTATTTACACTGTTTTATGGTTGATTTTGTCGTTAGGTTTAGTAACTTACTGTTTTGTGATATCTGGAGTTAATTTTCTGCTCAAAATGACCCATTTTGGCTTTAATAGCATGGTTGTTATCCAGTGCTACATTGAGTAAATTTTATAAACTGTAACTGAGGGAAATGTACTTGAGTATTGCATATTTAACAAAATAATTAAGTAGAAATTACTCTTCAAGCGATGCCATAGAAGAACCATTTTTGGGTCCACAAAGAACCATTCAGTCAAAGGTTCTTTAAAGAACCATCTCTTTCTTACCTTTTTGTAATCTGAAGAACCTTCTTTCGCCACAACGAACCTTTTGTGAAACAGAAATTCATTATAAAATGAATTATAAAATCCATAATCCATTATAAAATCCATTATAAAAGAACACGGCTCCGGGGGGTTAATAAAGGCCTTCTGAAGCGAAGCGATGCGTTTGTGTAAGAAAAATATCCATATTTACAACTTTATAATCCTTAATCTCTAGCTTCCGCTAACCGTCGTACGCGCATTCACTAAAGAGTGGCGTCCAGCAGAAGATGTAGGTGTAGCATAAGCTCTGGTGAGAATATACTAGTCTCGTGAAAAACAAGTTTTGTTTACGGCAAAGGAAAACCAGTGTCCTCTTGGCTTATATCGAAATCCTCTGACATTTTTCTTTACAAATACTCGTTTTGTACTACTAATTCGTGGCCGGTGTTTTGTTTTGCTCTCTCCTCTGCGCTGCCACGTTCGTCACCGCGTTTGCCTACGTCCTACGTCTTCCGCTGGACGCCACTCCCGTGAACGCACGTACGACAGTATTTTTGTGGTGTGAACTCTAAAAATAGTTAAATCCAAAACTATCGTTTAGTGCACTGATAAAAATTATTTTGTGGTGAAGTAAATACTACATAAAAACAAATGTAATTTCTACATTAAATAATTTAGTTCAGGCAAGAATGAAAAAAAAATTAAGTAAATTCTATATTACTACTCAAATTAAGCTTGTAGAAATTAAAGTTTGAAATTATAAGCATACTTGGAATTGTTTGTTATGTTTACAAGGATTCTTTAAGTAAATATCAAAGTTATGATCCTGTTTTTCCCATCATTCACTGGGGCATGAATAATTAAAAAGGTTAAAGTTTTCACTGTTTTCGAGTTCTATTTACACTGTTTTATGGTTGATTTTGTCGTTAGGTTTAGTAACTTACTGTTTTGTGATATCTGGAGTTAATTTTCTGCTCAAAATGACCCATTTTGGCTTTAATAGCATGGTTGTTATCCAGTGCTACATTGAGTAAATTTTATAAACTGTAACTGAGGGAAATGTACTTGAGTATTGCATATTTAACAAAATAATTAAGTAGAAATTACTCCTCAAACTCTAACTGGCCATGTTAAATTAACTTATTTGCTTTGCTAATTTTATTTAACGTAGTTAAGTAGATTTTACTTAATTCAATACTTAAATTTTACTTAAAATTTATGTGTGCAAAAACTTGCAAAATAAAAATGAAGTAAATCTACTTATTGTTTTTTTCAGTGTGTAAAACATGTTGAAGATTAGCCGATAGGCTGTCGATTCATTAAATGACAAGCTGTTTCCTCAAAAATCCTGTTTATTCAGTGTAGTGAAGCCTCTGCTCCATTGACATCCATTCAAACAAAATGGCCTCTGGTCTCCTTCCCTGCGTACTGCCAAAGCGGACGCGTTAGCATTAGCCATTACGCCTTTTTGGCTAAAGGTTGCAGGCTTGCCTTCCAGTGGCTTTGGTAGCAACCCGTGGCGCCATGGGACCCAAACGGCTCTACTGAGCTGACCTTGATGTGCTTGATATAAATTTGATTTTATAAGAAAATAGCATATGGCATTTATTTATTTCATTATGTCAAAAGTCTTCGTGGTCCGGATGGACACATCTCGCGGCCCGGATTTGGACCGGAGTCTGCCAGTTGGCGACCACCCATGTACACCAATGGTACTTCAATACAACGATTGTAAATTATGAATTCTGCACAAAAGGAAGAAAAGGAAAGAAACAACAACAACTATGTTAATTTTATCTTTATTGTAAACATGAAGTAAGACTGTTCATTTGATAGGGCTCCCTTGATGAAAGTTTTGTTTGGCTGAATTCCACTTACTTGCCCTCACACTTCTGTGCGCCTGTTGCACACCCACTGAGCTCTGAAGGTAGGCTTTCCCTTTTCACTTTACTCCTCTCATCCTTTTGAAGATGGTACACAGAAACGCATGATGAGAGGGAAGAAAAGTGCATTTTTAACAGTTGTGACAGCAGATCAGATAAGCAGAGCAATGCAGACTAATGAAGGAGAGGATGAGAAGGATGTTATTAAGGGAATAACTAATCATTATGTGCTAGAATTAGGGTCCACCATTATTTTATTACAATGATAAGAGCCATTCTTTCCTGTTTTATGCCCTGTGCTAGTCAAACACATACTGTAACATAGATCACATATCACCTTTATAATAGTTGTAAAGCTCATGGCCTGTACTCACTAAAGCGAGTGCCGCTCGCACTCATGAGACTGAATAAGATTCACATTGTTCATAAAGGGTGAATAATAGCATAAACAAACATAAACATTAATATGCACTTGTAACATACACTTGCATTCAACAGAAAATTGTTGTCAGGTCCATATGCTGAACAAAAAACAGCATAGGTATAGCTGTACTTATCAATTACAATCTCCCATTAAAACAGACCAGTTGTATTTCTGTTGTACTGCTGATTTTATATTGCAATATGTGCTGGCTGGGGTCTTTACCTGCTGAAATATGGATATTGATATTGGCAAGAAGTTAAATAAAAATTGGATTTGAATGTAATAGAGTTTGGAATATTTAAAATTTTTAATGTTTTTGAAAGCAGTCTCTTATGCTCACCAAGGCTGCATTTATTTGACCAAAAATACAGCAAAAGAGTAGTACTATGAAATGTTATTAGAATTTAAAACAACTGTTATCTAACTGTTTATATATATTAAAATGTAATTTATTCCTGTGATGGTAAAGCTGGATTTTTTAGCAGCCATTACTCCAGTCTTCAGTGTCACATGATCCTTCAGAAATCATTCTAATATGCTGATTTGGTGCTCAGTTATTACCAATGATTACTTGTGCTCAAATATGAATGGTTCTTATTATTATCAATGTTTTTGCTGCTTTACATTATTGAGGAAACTGTGATAAATTATTTGATGAATAGGAAGTTCAAAAGAGCAGCATTTATTTTAAACAGAAATCTTCTGTAACATTATAAATTACTTTACTCTCACTTTTGATCAGTTTAATGCATCTTTGCTAAATAAAAATATTTTTATTCCTTTAAAAAAATCTTACTGACCCCAAACTTTGGATGGTAGTGTATCATGGTTTCCACAAACATATTATGCAGCACAACTATTTTCAACACTGATAATAATGTTTCTGCATAATGCAGAAATGTTTCTTAAGCACCGAATCAGCATATTAGAATGATTTCTGAAGGACCATGTGACACTGAAGACTGGAGTAATGACTGCTGAAAATTCAGCTTTGCCTTCACAGGAATATATTACATTTTAAAATATATTAAAACAGAAAACAGGTCTTTGGATAGTAATAATATTTCACAATATTACTGTTTTTGCTGTATTTTTTTATCAAATAAATGCAGCATTGGTGAGCATAAGAGACTGCTTTCAAAAAACTTTTGACCGGTAGTGTATATGATATATGATTTGTTTAAAACTAGCTACTTTATTTGCTACAATAATTGATTATTTAACATTTACAGTAGAATTATTCTAATAGCTTCACATTCTTACTAAAATATAGTATGAACATGGAAGTGTTGTAGGTATATACACCTAATTGTGTAAACCATGCATATCACATATCACCAGCACACTGCACACACTCCCCGCTTCTCATGCACACTTATAGTAGGTCCCGTCTCACAACAGCAGCTCTCATCAGAGCACTTCACTTTCAGAGCAGCCTGTAAAGTCATTACAGCAATCTTTATTAACTTTTGACCCTTAAGACAACTCCACAACAAGTTAGACTCTAACCTTGTCACTATTAATTTCATCTTAAAACTGAATATCCTATCACTTAATTTACTGTGCATTCACCTGCAGCGCAAACAGTATGTGAGTGTGTGTGTGTGTTTTGTAAACCACTTGGCTGGGGTTAAGGGAGAATCTTTCTTGTTTTTAGTCCATTATGATAATGCCAAACTGTCACTGCAGTGCTTCCCACACAGGCAGCCCACTGGTAATAAAGTCTCTGATTTATTCCATGTGAGTCAAACGTGTGTGTGTGCAACAGTAAAGGTGTCAGAGGATAAATGCAACGTTCATAAAAGAAAGAGCAGCATATGTGGCAATATAGAGACCAAGGGGTGGCATACAAATGTGGATATGGATATGAAATCGTGTTAAAACTGAATAATGTGAGTGATTAAGATTCATCGCTGCTCTCTTCACATATACTTTTATGTCAAAGCCCTTGGGGTTTTTGGATCAGAAAGTCCTCTGGCTGGCCTATAAATCTTGATAGGGTTCATCCACAGCACCTCCACACTCAGACTCTATACAGATCTTTTATTATTTATATCCTCAGTTCTGATCACCCAGAACTAATTCATGGCAGAGGTAGTGTGTGTGTGTATGTGTGTGTGTATTTGTATAAGTGTATGTGTGCATGCATATGTCTGTTTATGTGAGGGTCACAATGATTGCATATGAATATTGCATGAGAACGGGCCTTTAAATATGAATCCAATCCAGACAGATGGACTCCTTTCTAGTCATTCATCTGAGGTCCATTTATCACCACACTGCTTTTAGAATGGCGAGAAAGGAAAGAAAAATGGAGTGGGAAAAGACGAAATGGAGGTGGTATAATGATGCTGTTGAGATGTGAGAAAGAGTGATACTGTCCAGCGTACCCCTGATTTCTACTGATTGTTAACGGTTTTAAAGGGGTCATAGGATGCCCATTTTCCACAAGTTGATATGATTCTTTAGGGTCTTAATGAAAAGTCTGTAACATAGTTTGGTTAAAATTTCTCAATGGTAGTGTAAAAAACACCTTTTTTACCCTGTCAAAAACAGCTCTTTTCAGATCAAGCCGTTGTTGTAGCATTTTCCTTTAAATGTTAATGAGCTCTGCTGACCGAGCTTTCCGAGCTGCTCTCAGAGAGACTGTTTACTTTAGCCGCATTCATCGTGAAACTTGCTAATTAGGAAAGGCGATTTGCAAAGATTCATTACAAAACATTATACTCAATTCTTCTGTAGATGAGGCTGGATCATGAATGATTTGCGCGATCATAGACCACACATTTCAGTTCAACCAACTTGTAAAAGTGCATGTAGCATCCTATGACCTCTTTAACGGTTTAACGGTTATCACGGCTAACATGCCATGCAAAGGAAGCAGTTTGGAGTGTCAGTGTGTGGTATATTTGCATAAAAGCAGCACAACCATCTTATAGAAGCACCTCTGCTGTCAGCTGCTCTCCCACCTGTAATTACATGGCAAGTGGGTAGAAAGACTAATTTTATATATATATATATATATATATATATGTGTGTGTATGTGTGTGTGTGTGTGTGTATGTGCTAAAACACCTCAGGAAGGATTAGTAAATAGGAGATGGATCATGGATGTGGTGGATTTCAAGGTCTATTTACATGCTGACTAGGATACACTATGGCTAAGAGAATTTGCTTAATGAGGAAATGTGGAATAATGTTTTCAGGATTACAAATGAAATTAACTACACATTAAAATTCATTTTGATTAATCCTTTATGATTTGATACACGATTTCTACACAAAACAGACTGTATTATTGCTACTTTGTTCCTTATCGAGGTCTAATTTATTTAGTTTTCTGGTTTTCTCTTCAATGGGCATCACAGGGATTCCACTTCGCTGGTTTGAATCCTATCTCACTGGTAGGTCTTTCAGGGTGGCTTGGGGAGGGAGGTATCCCATCTGCTAAATGACTAAATGTAAATGTAATGTAAATGTTTTTATAGTTATTTATTTAAGCAATATCAGACATAAACACATTCTCAAATCAACAGCATGATTGTGTGATATTGCTTTCAAAACAACTGCTGAATCATTTTGGAACAGGTAAACACAGACAAGCGGAGTGAAACAAGCAAGGAAAAATCCAACTACTCTACGGACAAATATGAATACGATATTTATATAATATAATATCTTTAATATAATAATATCCATAATAGAATTTTATAATACAGTCTTTTCAAATATAATGTTATGGATGTTAGGAAGAAACAATGTGATTCTTAGAACATTAGAATAATAATCTACTTGATGTTTAGAAAATGTTAACGTGCAAGTCAAATGCAATGATTTGTTGTCTTTGTATAAAGAGGTATTTTTCTGTGTTTCATAATTTTCTCAAAAAGATTGGTTTTTGTGTTGATTCATAAGGCTGTACCAAATTAATCTCTTATTATCATTCCTCATAAGCTTCTGGCAGATCTGAAGAAGAGAATGAGAGCATCCATTACAATTCACAGCCTAACACACAGCATAAGATAATGCCCTGATGTTGCCATGGTGACGCAAGGTTCCTCTGAGATCAAAGGTTTAAGGTGTCATTTGGGAAGACTAAATGGTTGATTCAAGGCTGTTATAGAGACCGGCAAAATATAAGATATTAACAAATGTTTTTTTTTAGCTGCTACCATACACTGCATTGTATGGAAGCCCGTTTCCGCCACAGAATTAAAAAAAAAAAAAGGTAATTGCAACTTTTTATCTCACAATTCTGACTTTTTTTCACAGAATTGTGAGATATAAACTCGCAATTGCGAGATAAAGTCCAATTTTGAGGGGGGAAGACTGATATGTTCTCAGAATTGTGAGTTTATATCTCACAATTCTGACTTCATAACCAGAGGCGGACATAGTACTCAATTCCATTACTTGAGTGAAAGTACAGATACTGATGGTCAAATATTACTCCATTACAAGTAAAAGTTGTAAAGACAGATTTTTACTTAAGTAAAAGTACCGAAGTACTTGCTTTTAAAAGTACTTAAGTACCAAAAGTAAATTTCCTTTTTTATGTCAATGCACTGTTTTATTGTTGTACGTAATACTTGCAATACTTTTGAAGCAACATAGAATACATTACACCTACTGAATACACTGACTAGCTTGTAGTATCTTTGGAATAAAGAGCTTTTAGAATGTTAAAA